AGTGGCGAGGGCTCCATCTAGAGAGCTCACTGGAAGGTTTTAAGCTTCCAGACCACTGTAGCCCCAGCTTCCACTTCACGTCCCTTATTTTTGGGTCAGTAGGTTTTCTTTTTCCTTCCTTCCTTCCTTTTATTTTTTATTATGTTTTTATTTTATTTATTTTGAGAGAGAGAGAGCAAGAGATAGAGAGCAGGGAGAGCAGCAGAAAGAGGGGGAGAGAGAATCCCAAGCAGGCTCTGCCCTATCAGCACAGAGCCTGATGCAGGGCTTGATCTCATGAACTGCGAGATCATGACCTGAGCCAAAATCAAGAGTCGATGCTTAACCAACTGAACCACTCAGGTGCCCCATCTTATTTTTTTAATGTTTGTTTGTTTGTTTATTTTGAGAGAGAGAGTGAGTGAGCAAGATGGTGGGAAGCAGAGAGAGTGGGAGAGAGAGAAAATCTCAAGCAAGGTCCATGCTGAGCTTGGTGCTCCACATGTGGCTTGGTCCCACAACCCTGAGATCATGACCTGAGCTGAAATCAGGACTTAGACGCTTAACCAATTGAGCCACCCAGATGCTCCTTTCTCTCTCTTTTTTTTTTCAATAAAGAGTTTTCTTTACTTTTTCTTAAAGTTTATTTATTTAAATACTCTCTACATCCAACATAGGGCTTTAACTCATGACCTCGAGATCAAGTCACATGCTCTTCCAAATGAGCCAGCCAGGCACCCCTGGTGAAAGTGTTTTCTATCTGTTCTCTGATGTCTCCTTAGTGTCTAGAACAGTGCTAGTACATAGTAGGTACTCAATAAGTACATGACTGAAGAAGACAGAGGCATATAGGCCAGGTGTGCTCTCTGTCCTCATGGAATTTATAGTCTAAGAGAGGACATTTAAGGTTAAACAGATATAGGGAAGGAGTAGTAAACTCTGATTGTGGGCAGGGACTGGGAGTGAGGGCTATGGTGCTAGTGGGGTGGAGAACTCTGCCAGAGCAGGCTTCCCTAAGAGCCCAGGTAGGCAGCCTAGAGATCAGATTTCCAGCAGCAGGACCTTGCAAAGCAAAGCCCCCAGCCCTCTGTGGTCTGGCTGCCTTCACCTGCTCTCTCCCATGCCCACCCTGCCCAGGGTATGCCTATACCCTTTCTGGCATTGATCCTTGGCAATTGTGTCCCAGTCCTCAGTTACCTAGAGAGAAACTGGAGCCCAGAGAAGAAGGGTCACTTGGCAGAGGCCCAATCAGGTCTTCTTACTCTAAGTTGTGGGAAGGCCTGGAACCCCCAGGACTGCCCCTTCCTGGATGGGGCTGTGTATCTGGAGAGGGCCCATGCTGTTGTCTGCCTCCACTTCCCAGGCCATGAAGCCCATCTCTGGCCTGCTCCATGCCCTCCTGGGCGGGGAAGGACAAGTGTGTGCCAGCTTTTGGCTCTCTGGTTAGGGCTCCCTGGCATGCTGGGCTGGCCTTTCACCCTGGCAGCCCTGGTCCAGCTGCTTGGGCATGCCTCAGTGGGTGGCCAGCCTGCTCCTACCTACATGTTGCAGGCCTTGGCCCTGAGTCCTCACTAGCCACGGAGGCTGACCCCATCCTCTCCAGAGCAGGGTCACACAGGACTTGGACCTAGGCCTGTGTGACCCAAGTCTGGGCTCTGAACTGGTGCCAGTATAGCCTGGCCCATAAGCTCTGGCAGTCTGAACGTAATTGTAATCCCAAGTCTTCGGACAAATGGCTGCTCCTTCCCGAGGACCCTGTTACTGTTGGCAGCATCACTGTTTCCAGCCATCCACAGTTTCCAGGATAGATCTATCTTCTGCCTTCTGCTGTTTCCACTTCTCTCCCCTCTGGACCTATTCCATCTGCCCTCCCTCCTCTGCAGCCTGAAGCACAAGGCCTGATCTACTTCTTACTGACACCAGTGGCAAGACCCTTTGTCCAGTCATTTGGCCATTGCTCTAGGTCAGGGACAGTCCTTCAAATGTTTGCTGAGCCCCCAATATGGTCAGGACAGGGTGGGTGGGCACCATGTGAATTTCCTCATTCACTAAGCACAGAGTATCCCCAATAGGATTTACTGAAGGAAGGATGGAAAGAAAGATGCTGGGAGGGAGGGTAGAAGGGAAAGGAGGAGACTTTTAGGTCAGCTGAGTCTCCCAGACCTTGGTTTCTCTCTCACAGTCCAAGAGCAGATTTGGACTTGACCCTCTGACCAGCCAGGTGGCTGAAAAGCTGACTGACCCCTTGAGACTCAGTTTCTTCATTTGTAAATGGGGCTTATAACAGCTCTGCCCTTGGAGGGCCATTGAGGGAGTCAATAGAACACTTGTGGGGTGCTTGGGTGGTTCATTTGTTTGTGTGTCCAACTTCAGCTCAGGTCATGATCTCGTGGTTTGTGAGTTCGAGCCTCATGTTGGGCTCTGTGTTGACAGTTCAGAGCCTGGAGCCTACTTTGGATTATGTGTCCCCTCTCTCTGCTTTCCCCTGCTCATGGTCTGTCTGCCTCTCTCTCAAAAATAAATAAACATAAAAAAAAAAAGAACACTTGTATATTTGCACTTTTGAGAGCCCAGCACACAGCAGGCTGTCAGGTCACCCAAGTAAGCCACCATGGTAAGCTGAATCCTTAAGAATAATCAGCACTTGCCAGATAGATAAGGCAGTATTGTGGGGAGGGAATGACAAAGGCATTACAGAAAAAGGGAGCAGCAAGGGCAGAGGCAGGGAGTGTAGTGTGGCAGGACGTAGGAAGGGAGAAATGTAGGACATGAAGCCTTGGGCCAGCAGAAGGAGGTCAAGGCAAAGCCTCACCAGCATGAACCAGATCAGGCCCCCTCTTCCTCTGGGTGATGAAGGGCAAGCTACTACTCTCAGGGCTTCAGTTTCCTCACCTGTGAAATAGAACATTTTAGAGCTGCTCTGTGGTGTCAGTGAACTCAATGGTGGGTATAAATGTTCAGGGCCCAGTGCTGGGCATACAGTCAGCCTACCCAGGAGCTGCTTCCATCCCTGGCCCCTCCCCTGGCCACTGTCAGCCCTCTCCTCTGGGCTCCCACACTTCACCAAACCATCACCACATTCTGTTGTTTTCCTCGGTGCAAGCTGGATGAGGGAAGGATGCTGCAAGCTGCTTGAGGGCAAGTGCCACCTTGGTATCTACCTCTCTGAACCCAGCAGGTGAGCATCCAGGACCCTGTGCTAATTGGGAGAAGAAGCAGCATGTGGTAAGTTCTATCTGAAAGTCCCAGGGTCCAGGAGGAGGAGGAGGAGGAGTGGAAGAAGAGGAGGAAGAGGCTACTTTTAATGGAAGGCTCAGGGAAGTGGAACACTAAGGCCAGGTCTGAACAAACACCAGTTAGCTCAGTGGAATGGAGCTGGCATGACCAAATTCCAGGCCTGCCATGGGGCACAATAAAGGTTTTAAAGCAGGAAAGGGGCCCCGAAGACCTGGTATCTTTTCCACTGGGACTAGGTAGATTTTTCTGTCTGTTTGTTTAACAGTGGTCCTCTGCTGCTTAGAGCCTTCATTCCTCCCCTACAATGGGGTCATCTTGGGAGGTGATGGTGAGGGAATAGGAAGATGCCATAGCAAAGGCTAGTTTTTGTCACTTGCCCTCACTGAACCGTCCCCTTCTATTCCCAGCCTCACGTGTCCAGGTTGAGGGAATGCACTGTGTGTCTTTAACCACCTCGGAATTCTTCAGGGCAGAGCTCACAATAAAGCTGTGTTCTTTCTTTGACCTGGGGCAATGTATCACCAGGTTCAGTGTCCACAGTAAGATCATGGAGTCAGTCTCCAGGCCAGACTTCCAAGTCCCCCATGCCTCCAGGGAGCTAGCTAGTGGAGTCCCTCACATATTTGTTGAATGTTTATTGAACACCCACTGCGTGCCAGCCCTGGGGGGTGGGGGAGATAAAAGGCAAACAGAACCTTGATGGCATGAGGCTTGTCATCTAGTCCCTCCTAACCCATGTCAGACCTGGGCTCCCAGGACATTGTGAGGAAGGCTGGCTCTATCCAGGCTACATAATCCCCAGTTCTTTCTTCTTCTCCCCTTTCATGGGAAGCTCATTGCTCTTAGGATGAAGAAAAATACCTTCACAAGGCTAAATGTGTACCTTTCTCTTTGTCTACACTGCCACCCTAGGTCCCAACGACCATCACTTTTGCCTGATTGGCTACAACGGGCTTCCAAATGGTCCCTACTCATTTGCTTAACCCCCTCCATTCTCCATTCTCCAATCATAGTACTTTCCTTAAACATGTATATCTCACTATGTGGCTGCTACACACATCCATCAAAGGTCTCTCACAGAGCATAGAAGAAAAAGTCAAATCCCTACTGTCCCAGTTTGTCACCTGCCTCCCTTGCTCCCTCTAATACTTCTCACTCCATTCTGGCCATCCAGACAACCTCATGGGCTTTGCCAGCGCCTTTTCTCCTGCTTGAAATCATTTCCTCCCAGCCTCTCAACTGCACTATGCCATCTTTCAGTTTCCAGCATTGGCCCTGGAGCCAGAAGCTCAGCCTCTGCTCCTAGCTGGCTGCATCACCTGGGGCAAATCATTGGCCTTCTCTTGCTTCCGTTTACGGTGAATGGACTGTTAGTGGGGTAACCATATCACAGGGTGATTTCAAAGATTAAGGAAAATAAAGCACTGGAGGGGAGAGCAGCACTCTGTAGGTTCCAGCGTTAGCTGTTATTAATACTATTTCCTCAGTGAGGCTTTCATTGGAAAAGTAGGTCTCCACAGTCATTTTCTCATCACCTAGTTTCCTTCACAGCACTTATCAGTGTCCGAAATAATCTTTGTTATTCAATTATCTTATTTTATGCAGCCATTATTTGTTGTGCACCTACTATGTGCCAAGCTCCCTTTGTAATTGCCATCGGATTGGACGTCGGTAAAGGCAGGGTCTCCGCTAGACCCGTTCAACCTGTGTTCGCCCAGTACCGTGTCCAGCACACAGTAGGCACTTCGCACGTCGGGGCGTGCCCCGCCCGCCCCTCCCCCGGTCCAGGAAGTGCGGGGGCTCCAGTCGCCGGGCCGGCCGCGATGCATTCTGGGAAAGCAGCAGCACCAGATCCAAGATGGCGGCCAGCAGGAGGCTGATGAAGGTAAAAGCCATTCTCCGGCGCCGGCCGGGCAGGGGGGTGCGGCGTCCCGGGTGCAGGGTCCCCGCGGCGGGCCTGGGCTCCTCGGGGCGCCGCCGCTCGGTCTTCCGCTCCTACGTGGTCCCATTGCCCCCCCGGGCCGCGCGCGAGCTTAGGGAGCTAACGGGGCCGCCTAGGCCGCAGCCTGGGCGGGAGCGCCAGGCCGCGCTGGGAGCTGCCGCTGGCCCCTCCGCCCGGCCCGGGGCGTCCACGCCGCCCTCCGCCCGGAACCGGGCAGGGTCCTCCTCGCGGCGATAGTCTCCCGGACCCGGGGCGGCGTTGATCTGGGGGTCTGGCCCGGAGGTCCCGAACCGGGAGTCCGCGGGAAAGGCCCGAGCGCCGGAGCTCCGGCCGGGAGCCCGCGCCGCGGAGCCGCCCCGCCCTGGGCCGCAGCGCGCTGGGTTTGGTACCCCTCTCAGCGGGGACGCAGCTCCGGAGGCCGGGAGGCTCGGGCTGGGGCAGGAAAGAGGAGGTCGGGCGACAAAAGTTAGGTCAGTTTGTTCGTGGGTCGTTTGAAATTGCTTTGGGTCCTAGCAAACCGTCGCCTTGTGACTGCAGAGTCACACAGCGGGCAAGTTCCAACTCCAGGAAGGCGTGGGGTCGGCCGCATTTGCGGCGCGGTTCTCCTTCCCCGTCTCCTTTCAACCTACCACTTCTAGTTATCCGGATCTCCTTTATTTGCTGAAGCTAAAGTGCCATTTTTGCGGGGTGGGGGGTTGGCTTCAATCGTTCGAACTCAAACCGGCCAAAGTTTATAAAAATAACTTGGTACTTTGTATCTTGAATGCAGCGGGTGCCTCCTTGTTAAGTGGCTCCTTTGGTGAGGATTACCGATGCTAAACTGGTTCAGTTCTTTCCCGAGTATGTTTGCCGGCGCCCTCCGGACCCGACCTCGCCAAGATTTGTGAGCCCGCGCCCGGGTAGTGCTGCCGGGTTGCACCCGGCCGGAAATAAAAAGGCCCAGGAGCTGATTTCCTGAGAGGAGATAACGAGATGGGGTTCCTCTTGGGCAGAGCGGTGCTTGGTGGAACTAGACGTTGAACTTGGAGTTACAGTCTCTGGGCCCTCCCTCCCTGGGAACGTTTCCTTTCTTTTGTTCACTAAGGGCTGGAGACGACGTTTAACTTCATAAAACTGAATTGGAAGTGGGCAGAAAAGAACAGTCAGCAGATTCCAAACTTCTCATCACTTTTCTGCCGGTGACACCACCATTCACCCAGTCATCCAGATGAGAGGACTGTTATTCACTTATTTCTTTGCTCCCCAAATGCAGTCACCCATTAAGCCTTGTGGATTTTACTTTAGAGAGAATTCTTGAGGGTATGCCTTCCTTCGTAATCTTACCGAAATTACCTGAATCCATACCGTCATCTCTCAGATGCCTTTCCAAGTACGTACTGACCTTTTCTGACTCTCCTTCTTGGACACCAAAGTTTTTCTTCTAAAGCAAATATTTAATCCTTTCACTCTTATTGAAAACCTCTCTGATCTTATTGTTCTCAGCAGTTAATCCTGACTTCTTATTTGGCATGCAAGACCCTTCCTAGGCTAGCTGAAAGTAATCTATTTAACCTCACCTCCTGCCCCTTGTTTTCCCACTACCCTTGCAAATCACAAGAGCTACCCCCCCTTTTTTTTTTTTTTTAAACCTTTTACTTTGTGCTGCCCTGTAATTCACGTTCATGATCATGGTTAATTCTCACTGAAAAGTAGACATTATTATTCCCGTTTTGTAGGTGAGGAAATGGAATGCTGAGGGATTCCTTGGGTTGCCCCAGTTTTCCTAGCTAGGGAGGGTGAGCTGTGAACTCACTCAAGTTGTGACTCCAGAGCCCCCTGTTCTTACTTACGAACTATGTGGTGTTCCTTTACATATGCAGTTTGATCTCCCTGAGAAAGGCTACCTTCCCCTTGCCTCTTCTCTCTTCCACTGAAGTCCTAGGCCCAATTCCAATGCCAGTTACTCTTTGAGGCCTTCTCCCCCATCCCCCTTCAGAACAAGTTGTTTCCTCCTTTATGTGACCACAGCACTTTGTTTTTCTTTGAGCACTTGTGCCAATCTCATTTGTGTTAGTTTTGCCTTTCCTACAGAGTTCTGAGTTCTTCAAGGACAGGAATCTTGACCTAATTCATCCTGGTATCCCCTACTCTGCCCAAGTTGACCCTACTCTACCCAAGTTGACCTAGTTTGGGGTTCCTAGACTTCCAGGGGTCTGAGAGGGGAGTTCCTATGGTTTGTAAATTATGTTTGTGTTTCCAAAAATTGGGGCTTAGAAAGAACATGTATGGGGCACCTGGGTGGCTCAGTTGGTTAAGCATCCGACTTCAGCTCAGGTCATGATCTCACAGTTTGAGGGTTCAAGCCCCGCATCAGGCTCAGTGCTGATAGCTCAGAGCCTGGAGCCTGCTTCAGATTCTGTGTCTCCCTCTCTGCCTCTCGCCTACTTGTGCTCTGTCTCTCTCTCTCTCTCAAAATATAAACATTTAAAAAAATTAAAGAACATGTAATATTAAGTACTTTATTAAAATATTTTTTTTTTAGTGTTTATTTTTGAGAGAGGGAGCAAGAGAGAGAGAGAGAGGGCAGAGGCAGAGAAAGAAGGAGAGAAATCCCAAGCAGGCTCTGCACTCAGCACACAGCTGGATGTGGGGCTTGAACTCACAAACTGCAAGATCATGACCTGAGCAAAAATCAAGAGTTAAACGCTTAGCCCAGGTGCCCCTAAGTACTTTTAAGTGCTAGGTTATTTACATAAAATCTTTTCCATAACACTTCAAGTTAGCGTATTATCAGCTATATTTTACAAATGAGAGAATTATGAGGCTTATATAGGTTGATTGTTACCAAAGGTGAAGTAGCAAGCAGACCAGGGTGGGGAGAGAGAGGATGTTAAATCTCCTTAGCATCAAATCCTAAGGTCTATGCCTCTTTCTTACTCCAAGGATGCATGGAGGACTGTGTAGTTTCTTGAGTTGTGGATGGAAATTCTTTCAATTCAGTAGAGGAATGCTGGCTACATGACTGAGATCACTGGCTCTGGGAGTCAGTGTTTAAGCTGATTAGTTAAAAACAACTACAACAACAAATTAATTGATGCATGTTGATCTGTACTTGGGGTGGAAATAAAGGGGGTTTTGATGATGAAAGAAACATGTTGAATAATCAAATGAATTACATCTTAGAGAACTTTAGATTTCCTCAAAAACTATTTTCCAGGACACTCAAGACTCAAAGATTTCTTTGTAACAATGGACTGTCTGCTGATAGTATAAAATATATTATTGAAAATAGAGGGATTTGCATATATCGGCTAAGAAGTTATTTTAGGCAAAGTGAGTATGATAAAGTTTTTAATTTAAAAAGCATTTGCCAGGGGCGCCTGGGTGGCTTAGTCGGTTAAGCGTCCGAGTTTTGCTTAGGTCATGATCTCACGGTTCGTGGGTTCGAGCCCCGCGTCCGGCTCTGTGCTGACTGCCAGCTCAGAGCCTGGAGCCTGTTTCAGTCTGTGACTCCCTCTCTCTCTGACCCTCCCCTGCTCACACTCTCTCTCTCTCTCTCTCTCCTAGAAATAAAAAAAAAAAAAAAAAATAAATAAATAAAAAGCATTTGCCAAAAGAACTAGCCTTTTTTCAGAACCCTTTTTAGGAATTACAATGTTAATAAGACATTAAATACATTTTAATTTGCAAGCAGCAAATCCAGCATTGATGGCAAAGACCAGATTGTAACCACTGCTTCTATCTGGAAGGGAAATAGCTACAAAAGTGAAACCTGTAGGTGTGGCTAAGGAAATTGATTGCAGTCTGATCATTTCTTTTCAGCCTCTCAATTGCACACATCTCTCCTAGGGGCCCTCCAGCTGAGTATCTTCCCAGAAGGGCTTTTCTCAGTGGGGAAAGTTGTGGATTTAAGAAGGGGGTGTGTGACATTTTACTTGTTATTATGGTGTAACTGTTGAGATGAGGAATTGAGATTTGTAGCAACCTTTTGATGCTACTTAAATGATGTTCAGTCAGAACTCCTTAATGGTATGCTCTCTCTCAGACCATAACTACAGGTGAATAAGGAGGAGTCACTAATAACTGTTCTTTCCTTGGAAAGAATAAGCAATGAACTGGTTTGCTTTTGAATACAAGTTTATGTTCTCTGAAGTTGGGTAATTAACATGAAAGAGCAGTGAATGTGTCTGGTATGTGTGTGTCAGAAAGTGAGGGGGGTTTTTCAGATGATGTTATACTGATATAAATGTCCTGAATCCATGGGGTTTTAGGGAATTGAGAAAAACATTGTATTTTTTTTAATCCTAAATGTAAAATCTCAGTATGTTGGGACTATTTCAGCTTCCCTTAATGGTTTTCATTGTAAATGTTTCCCTATTAAAAGAAAATTGGGACAGGCCCTGGGAAAGAGAATGGACTTGGTTGTTGTAACATCTGGGACCTTTTCTTAGGGTATATACTAGAACAAAAACATTCGTCTCAGGGTACTTGGTGGCCCTATTCTGTCTTTGTTATAACTGTAAAGAGTTTGTCAAATTAGCATCGTATGGTACCAAGTCACTTGGAAATATTCTCATTCCATTGAAAAGCATCACTAAATGTTAAAGAGTGATTTCTGTTTTCTTTACTGCAACAGTAAGTCAGGGATTAAAGCTTACAGGACCCCAAGATATCTCTCCTGAGCCCAGACTTTGTATCTAACAGCTTGGAGAGGTTCCCTTTGAATGGCACATAGACCTGTAGTCGTCTAAGCTTGTGCCCCCACCAGCCCTCATGCTTCTCCTGTCTTGCCATCTTCAGTTATGATCCACTTGTCTACTCAGCCACCCAGGGAAGAACCAGGGGAAGCCCACTTAGCCTCTTCCTTCCACACCTAGCCACTTGCCAGATTCTGCTGAACTAGGCCTTTATCTCTGGCCTCTGCCCATCTTTTCTCCACCCTCTCTACCATCCCCTTAGTTCAA